TTTTATATCTGTCATTCTTGTGTTTTTTTTGTAATCCTCTATTCTTTCTCTTATGCCTTGTGACCATGGAAACCCAAGGTGGACATAATCTCCCAAACAGTTGAGGCTTTCAATCCTGTTTCCCAAAATACTCCCCTGTAGATGTTATTTAAATTTTTTGTTTGCAATCTAAACTATACGACAATATGATATAAAACAAGAATGACACTTTTAAATATATTCTTAGTATTCATAACTATATTTTGCAATCTAATCTTCCCCCACAGAATCGATTTTGCATATAACCGACTATATCTATTTTGTCAACAAAATCCCTTAAATATCGGGGTTGGTAACAGAAACATACACTTAAACGTGTTATATTTTTTAAACCTCATTTATTTAAACAGTATAAAAAATCGTAGATACGCTTGGGGGAAGTCGAGTACATACTTTGAAATCTATCTGGAAGTCTCAAAATCTGCTCGTGTTCTGGATCTGTCTCAAAATCGACGCGTGTTCAAAATCTGCGACCTTAGATCGAACCAACCTTCAACGTCATCGGAAATCAGTCATACTTGTTCGTCGTTGAGGTATTCTTGTACGCTATCTTCGAAAATAAATGATTGAACTCTTCGTCGTCGAGGTCTTCGGAAATCAGTGACCTTAGAAACCTCTTCGAACTTTAGGATTTTACCTTAGAACCACGACCTTTGTACGCGGTTTAGAGATTCTTGTACGCTGTTTGGGGGTTTGGCGAAGAGGAACGAGTTAGGGATTTGGGATTTTTTGGAAGGATTCAGCGTTTCGAGTGGGGTTTTGCAGTTGATTTTTGGAGTGTCGCTTGGGGTGGGTATTAATTTTGAAGGGGTGGGTTTTTGGAAGGGATTTTGATGAGGGGGTATTAATTTCGAATGAGTGGGTTTTTGTGTTACTGATAGGGTTTTTGGAAGGAAAGTTTTTGATGGGGTGTGGTGTGTAGTGATATTGACAGTGAGGTGGTATTGGCAGTGAGGTAGGGTACTAATTCTCAACTATTCACTCTATATTTTTTTGTTCAATTTTGGATTTCAATATTATTTTTTTTGTTCATGTTCCATTTTTCTAAATTGATTTTACTTATTTTTTTATCCATTTTACATTTTGATTTAAAATTTTTGAACTCTATAATTTCCATTCAATATCTTCTTTCCTAAAATTTATGTGCATTACAAATTTGTTGAAGGGTAATTTCGTCACGAATTTATAGGGATAATGGTAGGATAAATTTACCTATTTTGATGGGGAGGGTAAATTTGTCTACGTAGTTCAGCTCTAACTGTTCTTGAGTTATTTTTCTGATATCTGATTATTTTGGCCATTTTTCAAATCAAACTATTTAATTTAGCTATTCCTCTAATTGCCCCAAAAGTAAAAGCAGAAACTAGCACGCATCACCGACGTTAGAAATTAGAAAGGTTTCCAAATCCATCATAAAATTGGAAAAAATTGACTTTTAAGGGAATTTTACAGAAACAGTAGAGTCAAAGTCAAACAAAGGGCCGAGCGTTTCGCAATTTCACGCAATTGCTTGGCTAACGGCCTCCAATGAAACTATTATTTATCATTTATTCCTTCCATTTTATTGCTCTTGCATTTTTTACTTTAATTTAGTTTAATGTTTATACTTTCAAAATGTTAATTTGAATTTCTAAAAGTTTAGATTAATCTTTTTGAAAAAGAGTTATTTTAGTTTCGTTTATTTTCATTTTTATCTGATTTAAATTTATCACTATCAAAATTTTAACATAATATTTCATTCCCTTCGATGGAGAAAAGAAAACGGATGTTTTGTTTGGATTGTGAGGAAAATGTTGCGAAAATGTCACGTAATTGTGAGTTAAATGCATTTTTTTCCTCCTTTATTGTGCCGCCTCTCATCTCACTTTTTGAATTATTTGGAGCGGACCACCGCCACCTCATCTGCTTCAACGTCACTCGATTGCTTCCCATCATAGCAGCAAACAAATACAACACTTCCAACTCTTTTCCATATTTTTTTCTTTTTTTGTTTTGATTAAAAAATATTTTCCAAAATAAAAACACTGCCTTGTCTCAAACTACATTTTAAAAATTTCACAATATTTTATTAAAGTACTTTTAGAAAAACACTTAAAATACGGCATAGCACACTTGGAAAAAATACTTAACGTGTCTTTGGGATACTTTTCAAAACGGTATTTTGTTTTTGTTAAATGTATAATATTTGATAATAAATAAAAAAAATACTTGCAAAAATTAAAATGGTTTAAATACTTTTCAAAAAGTGATTTTGATTAGAGTGATTTGCTCTAGTAGCTGAAGAAGAGTTAATTAATTATATTAAAAAACGTGTTTGAACTAAAAGGTATGTCAAACTCGTTTGTAGGATTTCTCCTAGGAGTACTTACAGAATAAGTGTCTTATATATCGAGGCTAACTCCTCTTCTTCGAAATGCTTTTACTTATTTATTTATTTATTTTGTATTGAAACATCAAATTTCTACGTACATGGCTAAGCAGCCAACGAGCATTATTGCTCTGAATACTACTTGTCAGGGACAAATCAAACTTTGTTTTTGGTTTCATCCAAAATTGATGTCTTCTACCAAAAGAGTAGGTTTGTTATCTCTCATTTAGTTATATACCTAAAATCTTCTCAATTCCTAGCCAATGAAGTAGTTTGGTGGCATTCCCGACATACTTTTCAAAAGTATGCAAACCCTTTTTTTTTTCTTATCATAAGAGAAAAATGATTACCATCATCATGAATATGGATGGTGGTACGGTCATACCCTCAAATAATTTGCAGTTGATAATTGAGATCATAACTATCAAAGGTTTTGGTCAATAAGCTCGTCTTGTTGGTGTCCATAAAGTTGGGAGAAGTGACAAAAGTGCAAGAGGAATAACGAGGATGTTTTCCCACACAATGTTTTAGTTCACACACACAAAATTTTCACAGCTCATCATCAAATCCAAAAACAGTGGCATATCGACAAAACCGCACTTTTTAGGTTTCGAAATTTAATTTCTATATATATTTGATTTTGAATCCAGCCAAATAATCGCTTTTCTTGAATGTGAAATTGCTTTAATTAATGGTGGACGGTTCAGTATTTTGAAAAGTTTATATTATTGTCTAATTAATCATGAAAAGAAGATGTTCATCCAGCTTGTTATCATCATTTTGATTACTTAAAAGGAGATGCCAATTTATGATCATAATCGTAGAATTAGGGCTCAATGTGTTTTAAAATTAAATATTGCCCTTAATGATCCTAGCTCGTATATATTGCATATTCTAGCTAGCTTTCATATTGTAATATACAATATACAAGTGAAACAGAGAAATTAATTGGGACCAACCAATTTTTTTTATCAAGAATTAAAAAAAAAAGATAGTGTAGATAATTTATTTTTAATTTTAGAATAAATCAAAACTTGTCTGTTCCGGATCATCCACATCAAAATAATATAAATTTATAATTTTGTGTTGTTGCTTGTTTTATTCTTCTAGACATTTCAAATTAAATAGCATGAAATAAATATGTATTTTCAAATATAATGTAATGTCTGGACATTTTATATTAAAAAATAATAAAAATAAAAATATTATGTAAAGTTTGAAAATTTTATAAAACAGCAAAATCCAAAATTAAACTCTAACTCATAATGAAAGCATCCTAAAAAATAACATTTATGCTATATTTAAAAAAAAGTTGTGACATTTTTAAAAATGCATATTAAACTAATGTTAAGCAGTGAAATTTATATTTTTCTCTTTATCTTTACTTTTACAACGAATTATCTCACTACTTTCTTAAGGAACAAGTAACCTCATTAAGTCAATCAACTGCCATAACACTCGTTTTTATTCTATTTAATTTTCACAATAATGGGAAATACTTTTTAACAAATAGTAGTTCATTTTCATTGTCATGAATTAATTAATATATTTCAAATATAATTTTGAAAATCGGAAATAAATCAAATGAAACTTTCTACCTCAGTTAGAATTTGAATATCTAATTTAGAGAATTTAATGGTGACAAGTCTTCTCGGTCTTTGAGGAGCCAAATATTTTCCCAGAAGTAGGAAACCATCCCTCATTGTTTGTGAGTAGATATAGTATAAAAAATCAATCTTCTTTTGTAACAAAATTACAAGCTGGGGAAAACAAAAGAGTACAAATACCATAAAATACACCCAAAGAAAAAAACTTATAAAAAAAACCCCTAAACTATCCAAATATTTACATGAAATCTGCAAAGTCCAAACCTTCAGGAATTTCAAACTGCAATAAGTTGCTGCAAAAGCTATCTCTCTCATCCTCAGTGCTGCTGCTGTTATTGATATACGTTGATGAAGAATTCAGCGGCGTGGGGCTTGATTTCGGCGTCGACATTACCGAATCCAACCCAAAATTCTGAACATTATTATTATTCGAAATTTCTGGTAAATCACTAGCCGTCGGATTGGAGCCATCACAGTACACGTAATTGGGTTGGTTCACCAAAACATGATCAATATCATTCAAATTTGAAGGTAAAATATTCAGATTTTCTTGTGAATTTGGGCAGCTATTAACAAAATTCGCGATGGGCATTGAAGAAGTTGCATCCACATTACCACTATTGGGTTGTAATAGGTGTGATAACGAATCCATTTGCGCTTGAACTTGAGCCTGATGATTTTGATGCAGATTTTGGAGAAGTAAACTTGTTGGGTCTTCTTGTTTGAGAGCTAAGAGGGTGGAGATTAGGTTTATGGAGTCCGGGTTCAGGGATAGGGCTTGATTGTTTAATATGCTTGAGAGGTTGAGAAGGGACTGGCTGCGTAGGGCCGCGGTGAGAATCGAGGAGAGGTCGAGAAGATCGAGCCGAGGTGTGTGGGTCACCGGGTCTATTCCCATTCGAAGAAGTCGTTTTCTTATGTGGGTGTTCCAGTAGTTCTTGATTTCGTTATCGGTTCGTCCAGGCAAGCGAGCAGCTATGGCTGACCATCTGCGACAGCAAAAATATATTCACAATCCTCGTTACGAATATAAACTAGGGTAGTCAAATATAATAATTATTAAGTTTTTGGATTGAATTATAGTTTAATATATTATTAGATTAATTTTAGTAATCCTACTTGTTTCCTAAGACGCTATGTAATTGAATTATGGTCTCTTCTTCTTCAAAAGAGAATCTCCCCCTCTTGATATCAGGCCTCAGATAATTAGTCCATCGGAGCCGACAACTCTTTCCACATCTTTGAAGTCCTGAATTCATAAAACAACTCCACTTTAGCAATTATATTTTATTCTTCTCTATCAAAAGCTCTTAAATTTCAACAACCCCATCATAAAAAAAAAAAAAGAAGAAGAAGAAGAAGTTACCAGCATTTTTAGGAAGATTACGCCAGTTTCCAGGCCCATGAATCTGAATATAACTAGTGAGCTTCTGATCTTCCTCAGGAGTCCATGGACCTTTCTTGAGGCCATTTTTGTCACAGCATGGCGCTCTCCCCATAATTATTGCACTTTAATAAAAATTAATGTTAAAAAGGCAGAGGCTGAGGAACTGTATATCAGAGACTTAAAACTTGAAAAAGTGCAAAAAGATGAGGAAAAAATGGAAGAGAAAGCGTAGAAGCGTTTGCTGCTGAAATCGTGGGAAGAAGATGAGGTTCTTATATACAGATCATTGAAGGGTGGAAGAAGCAGAAATGTGACATATTAGAAGTCAAATGTATTTGGTGCCGTCCTTAATGCCACGTGTTTACTTTATACGCATGCATGCATGTATGATTTATGTATGTATGTATGGGCAGAAGATGTATACGTATACAAGATTGGCTAGAGATTATTGAAGTCATAGTTTAGGTGAAAAGTTAGTTTATTTTCTAGAAACTTGAGTTTGGGTATAATGGGCTGACTTTGTTAGAAATTGACCATGCATCATGCTTACATTTACATATACATACATGATTTGGTACATCCACATCACTTGACATAGTAACAGGATTAGAAATACAGTTTAAATAATTTCTTTCAATAGTGTATTTTTAATAATTTTTCACTAAAATCGATATAAATTATATGTATATTACTCTTTTCTATTTTTTAAATCTTGAAAATAATTAAAATTAATTACTAAACGGGTAATTTTTTCTTAAAAAATCCATGTCCTCAAACAAGGATTCCTCGACCTGAATCTCGATTTTCCGAATCAGAGAACGAGGTAGTGCCTTGACGAGGATGGAGAGGACATCGTCCCAACTCCCACTCCACCTTATTGTCATATCTGTCATACATAGAATTTTTTTTTATTAATAGTTTTGTGTTTACAACATTTCTGTTTAATATGCTAAGATTTAGGTACATATTAGACATTTTCTAAAGTTACATTACCGAACACGACAATATTACTACAAGTTTAGGGATTGTTTTACATTTTAGAAATTAAGAATCCATCAAACAGACACAATCCTTCAAGAGTCAAACTTTAAATTTAACTAAAAATTTTAGCTGAAACTCATTTATCTATTGAAAGCAATGAGAACAAACCTAATAAAATCACGCCACGCTAGAAAGTCAATAATAATTCCTACTGACTAGTATACAGATAAGTATTGTTGAAGAAAGTTGTCTGCATGTTCAAATCTTACGCTAGTCACAGTATTGGTCAGCCCAAGCAACAAACTCCCATTATAGGGATCCATAATCACACGACCCCAATTAAAAAAAAAAAGAAGAAGAAGAAGAAGAAAGTTGTCGGCCATCCAAGAACCCTAGATTTTGAATAATTGGTTGACTTGAATATGTATGACCCATACATACAATCTATTATGGGGATGCACATTGGGTTGACATAGAAGGTGAGGAAAAAGTGGAGGGAAGAGAGAGATGATGGGGTAATTGTGACATTTGTCTATATTTGGTATATGGACTTATGAGAATGATTGGACGGTCACGGTAGTTAAGTTCTCTCATCCAAATCGACGAAAAATATGTTTTACATTTCGTTCTGTCGCTTCTCTCTTTTGCCTTTCAACCTTTTTTAACCATTTTGCTTTCTGCTAAGCTATGTGTTCACTATACGTTACTTGTCGTCACCATTTTGTAGGGTGTATGACTTTAGCCAACTAATTGGATAGCTTTCATCCATATATTAGAATTTTATAACATCAAATTAGAAAAAGTCGTTGAATCTATATAGTAAATGGATCATTTGTGAACATAGTTCCACATTGACTAGAAAGAGAGACGAATATCCGTGACATATGTGAAAAAGATAGCATTTTAAGTAGGACGAGGCAATGTCTTCTAACTTTCCTAAATGAATTCGAATTAATATAAAAACTTTGAAGGTTTGATTTAGTATGCGAAATTAAGAAATGGCATATTGAAACTCTCATTTTTCTGGGGAAAAAAAAAATTATACCGATGGAATCTGATTTTGTTGGGAAAAAAGAGTTACTCCAACAAAGTTCAAATTTCGTTGACAGTAGTAGTTTCTATTGATGAAATTTAGTTTAAGTACTAGTAGTGTGGTAAGATGCATACGAAATTTAAATTTCGTTGCATATAAATTTCTTTTTTCCGACGAGGCAAGATGAGTGAAAAATAATTTTTTTTTCATATATAACTTTGGAAGATGAAGTTTGGAAAATGTTTAAGCGGCAAAAGTAAAAATTTTTGTGGTGTAATACACAATTTATTTATCCTTTGACCAAAAGAGGTTAAATGGCACCCTTTATCGTTTCCTTGTATGAGAAGAAAACTTGCCTTGAAAAGTAGTTTCCTTCCTGTTAAAGGAGAAGTTACTCATTTTTCAAAAGGAGGGGGAAGAAATAGAAGTAGAAGAGAAAAAGAAAAAAACAAGTGAGAGAGATAAATTTTGAATTTTTTTTCTTTTTCTTTGGATCTCTATTAAACTAATTTGCATGATTATTGAATCATTTTTGTTAGTTATTCTTGCATATATATAAACAATTGTTATCACTCCAATTAGGGTTACATCATATATAATATTGTTACGTTTTCCTGAGCGCTTTGGTTATTCTACAAAAGTTGAATGTTAATTATCATTTTAAAAATAAAAAGATATCTTTTTGTCTATATTACCAGAAGAAATATGTTACTTATATCAAATTTTAGAGGGAGTTTTTGTCTATATTACCACAACAAATATGTTAATTATACCAAAAATTATCCTTAATGTGTTGAAATTTCAATAATCAAGGCGGTTTGAACAGTATATTCTAGATATAGTTTAATATTAATCATGTTTTTATGTTTCCTAAAAATAAAACTATGTTTTACCTTTTCTTTTTCTTTTTGATTTTACACCATTTTCAAAAACAAGTTTCAAAAATAAAATATAACTTTTTGAATACTCTTTTAATTTTAAAATTTTGACTAAGACATAAAAAGAAATAGCAGGTTAAAAGAGGTCAAACCTCTATTTTTATACTTTGAATTTGTTTATCCCAAGCTATGGATGTGTTAATCTTAATCCCATAAATTACATAAACTACATAAACTCATGTGGTATAAACTCCATACCTAACCTAAACTTAGTTCAATTGGCTAAGTTCTAATTTCCATCTTCCACGTGTCTGTTGTATTAAAACTTATCAAATCAGTTAATAAAAACTTGCCTAAACTTTATTTAGGGTTTTTTTCAAATTGAATTGGTTATGAGTCAAAATTCAATGATGAGTCATCAAGTTTGTGACTTGGAATTTAGTTTAAAATATGAAAAAAGAGTATCTAAGTTGATTTTGTATGGTTGAGCAACAAAATATTATTTAAATGACTGTATGGTATAAACATAGCCTTTTTACACACAGCGAAACGGTGGCGTGCAAGTCTCATGTTCACCTACAAGGCTCCAAAATTTCCAAGCTGGAGCCTTGTCTGTAACAGACCACTATAATTCCTCCACGTAGCACTCAGTTGAAAGTCAACCAATCATGAACTAAAGCTTATGTCGTGTTGACATTTGTCGACTGTAACAGACCAATAATCCCTAAAATCATGTGGCTCAAAATGGGTGTGGGATTTGGCCTTTGCAATCAAATTCAAAGTCATTGAAAATCAGCTGCCACATTTCATCCACTCCTATCTAACTCTCATTCAAATACTATTTTATTCCTTCACTTTTACACAACAAAATTTGATTCCTACTCTAAATTTAAGAGTTCATTTTTCCAAAAAATTTAAAATATGTTATTTTGTTCCTTTGTTTTAGCTTTATTTTTAGCTTTTAGTTATGTTGTCATTTTCTTTAACAGTACACATATGACTTCTTAGACAATTTTAAAAAACAAAAACAAGGTTTTGGAAACTTTATTTTCCCAAAATTTGGCTTAGATTTTGAATTATTTTTCAAATACCATATAATAAACATGGATGAAAATAGTGTTTATATAAAAAAAAATAGAAAATAAAAAATAGAATGATTATCAAACAATCCCTAACTAATTAGTTCCAAAATTCTAAAAAAATATATATTTAATAAAACTCTAAATTTTCTAAATAAATCACTAAACTTTTTAAAATATATAATAGGTTTTAGGAACTTGGGTCTACAAGATCTCTAACTTCATCGATATTTTAAAAAAAGTTATTAACCTATTAAATACAAAAATTGAAAGGCTAAAAAAGATCCTCTCAACGTTGAAAAACTAACTTGTAATTCAACTTTGGTCTTTTTTTAATTTAAATACATCAAAATCAACCCTAAGATAGTTCTTAAACTCGATTACTTCAAATGAAAATGCCTTTATTTTCAAAATAGAAGAAAAAATAACATGAAAAGTAAGGCAGCATATAATATATGGTGACTCCGTGTTTGGTAGCTTGATGACAGTATCATGCCTGCATAATTGACTCAGAAATTTTATTTGTTTAAAGAAATAGATACTATTAATTATTAATCTCCAAATTAAAAGGTTAATTTAATCAATTTTGGTGAGAGAAGGTCCCTTTAATTAAATATTTTAAAGTTTAAGGCATGCTTGGGTTTGGTTGGTGCGCTTCATTGTCCCACATGGCCATGCCCTTCCACCAAATACAAATTAAAATACAATAACATGTCTTTAAACTCCACTACGTATATACAAAAGCTCCACAAACTTCCAATAATATTATATACATAAAATTCCAACAAACCCTCTACCATTTATATTCATTTAATCTTTACATTTTTTAAATTTTAAATTTTGCCTTTTATATTTTATTGATTAAGCATTTCTATTTAAATACTTCTTTTCACCAGATATATTGGGGTTTATTATGTGGATATCACATCAATTTCTCGATACTTTTATATCACTGAGCGGAGTGAAGAAGGGAGGGAGAGACAATATTGGTACATTTGTAATAATTCAAAAGTATATTTAAAATAAGAGTTTTTCCACATTGAGTTTAACCATTTTTTTTTTTATCTTTTTCCAAAATTTTGAATATTTATATGACCATTTGATTGTCCCTAAACTATTTTGTTTTATAATCTATATTCTAAGAACATTTCCATAATGCAAGTTAAATTTTGAATGCTAAAAATAGTAGTTTCAATTTTGTTTCAAATTAAAAAAAAATGGTTGTTTTCACCTATTTTTAAAAGGTTGAGAATGAGAAAGAAGACAGGGGTAAACGAAAATGAAAATGAATTATAAACATCTGCAATTTGATAGAACTTAGAGATAAAATCTATAGTTATGTTTCAAAAATTTCTCATGAATACAAATAGAATTTTATTAAATTCTTGTAAATTTTAAGTTGGACTTGGAATACATCAAACCGAGCTGTCATAGGCACATTAGATTTTCGTTCTTAGTTGGCCCAATGGAGAGGCCCATTGGATTTCCGTTAAGGACCAATTAGGTATCCATCGGTAGCTTGTCATAGTAGGCCCATCGAATCTCCTTTCGTAGCCTATATCTCCTTCTCTAGGCCCATTGAATCTCCTTCCGTAGTCTTGTCCAAGTAGGACCATTGAATCTCGGTCCAAATCTTTATAGTGGGCTTCCGTTAGTGGGCCTCAGTGCGTAGCCCTGTCATAGTGGGACTCCATGCATAGCCGTATCATAGTTGGCTTCTGTCTGTAGCCGTATTATCGTTTTTCCACATTGGGGCTAATCACTTCTTTTCCAATTTTCATAGTTCTGAATATTTATATGATCATTTGATTGTCCCTAAATTTTTTTTTTTTTTTTGTAATCTATATTCTAGGAAGATTTCTATAATGAATAAAAATAGTAGTTTTCAAATTTTTTTAATTAAAAAATTGGTTACTTTCACCTATTTTTAAAAGGTCGAGAATGAGAAAGAAGACAGGTTAACAGAAATAAATATGAATTATAAAGATCTGCAATTTGATAGAACTAGAGATAAAATGTATAGATATATTTCAGATTTCTTATGAACATAAAATAGAATTTTATTAAATTCTTGTAAATTTGAAGTTCGGCTTGGACGCACACACTTCATAACCTTGTCATAGTAGATCCATTGAGTCTCCGTCCTTAGCTTCTTCAGCGGCCCAATTTGGTCTCCGTCTTTAGCCTTAGGCCCATTAGATCTCTGTCCGCCTTGTCATAGTTGGACAACTGGATCACCATTAGTAGGCTCATTGGATTTCCGTGTATTGATTTGTCATAGTAGGCCCATCGAATCTATTGGATCTCCATCCGTAGACCTATTGGATAGGCCCATTGAACCTCCTTCCGTAAACTTGACGACATAGGCCCACTAATTCTCGGTCCATATCTGTAGCTTCATGATGATCTTCCTTATAATAGTAGGCCGCCGTCCCTAGACTTATCATAGTGGGCCTCCGCATAGCCGTATCATAGTGGGCTATAGCTTCAGCTGAAGCCCACAAAATTAATAATTTCCAACATTAGTTGATGTATTTCATATTCATTCATTTTCATTCTACTAAATAATACATTGGTTTCAAAACTTACTAATTAACTATACTCTTGTAATTATTATATTTATTTTCCATATCCTGTTAAAGGTACATCATTTTAAAAAATATAGTTTTAACTTAATTTAAATTCATTGAGTTGAACTTTATAATTATTATAAATAAATAATCGACCATATTTTGTTGGTAATAAATTATTTTCTTCATTTCAAGATAATAATAGTTAACTTCTCAACTAAGTTAATATGAAAATATTTAGTTTTAACTTGATGTAAACTTCATTGCTCCTGGGAATAATGTAATAGAAAGCCTGTGGCTGATGCACTTTTACAGGTCAGGTAAGAACGAGACAACCCAGGGGAACATCTAGAACCCAAAAAAAAAAAAAAAAAATCGTGATTGGTAAAGCAACAAACAAAATGGTAATAGCCTAAACCGAAAATGGAATTGTGATTTGTGACCAATCCTGAGTGCACACCTAATATTCTGGAAATATTTATTTATATTGACTTTTAGAAATCTCCTATAAACCAAATGTAGGCTACATATCTGAAATCTACTCTTATATACCCGTCAGTGTAGGTATCTCGATCTCAAAATAGTATGAAGCTGATGACTAAATATACCATGTGAATCCGAAATGATTGCACGTACAAAATCAAAGGGTCAAATATCTCTTTAAGAGATGTCATTTTTTTTTTATCTTTTACAGGATAACATTAAAAATGACAATAGACAGGAACTGAAAACTATGATTACTGCACAGAGTACGAAAGCATTTGTATTGACAATTGCACTCAAACTATGTAATACAAAATACAAATGATGAAAAAATAGCTTAAGGTGGTTATATCAAATGAGGATATGAATGCAAAATTTACCAAATGCGTAAAACCCAATAATACATTACAGAAGCACATCTATCAGGTATTTAGAATATTGCTAAAACTCAAGTCTATCTCAAATTAGGCAGTACTTCAATTGATGTCATTACCTCTCAAAAACCAGTCTGCATGCTGTACTCTCCCAAGCATTTTGTTATGGCCTCATTAGCTGTCTGAGATCCAGCCCTCTCATCTCTTTTCTTCTTCTCTCTATAGGTAAAAATGCAATCCAAAGCACTGGTTAGTCATAGAACCTTTATTGTTAAAACTTTACTCTAGACCCACAATGATCCACCAAATTCTACATCATTTAGACTTCAGCCAAGATCCATATGTGAAAAAGCAAGGTGTAGAATCAAGGATGGTGAAGTTGTAGATATCCAGTGATTATAAATGCTATGACAGTGACTTGCAGGAGATTTAACGAGTACAAGGTTGAAAATTTTCGAATCAATTACGGATTCATAAAATCGATGCAAATAAGGTAGTTTGAAAGAGCATATTGCTGAGTATGTTAATCTACATGCCTGGAACTAGGAACTTAACAATCTCTTACCTATCCACGTATTCCTTTAGGAGCTCTTTTGCCTGAACCAACTTTGAAAGCAGGTTGCGGTAGACATCTAGGTCTCGGTCCACACTTTTTTTGTTGACATTTAAAGCAGCACAGAGCTGTTCAGAAGCAGCAAAAAGTTAGATGCAAATATTTGGTCAAATCTCCATCACATGGCTTCAGCTGTTTTGGAAAATGTTAGAATATATAGCTTTAGATGTTTTGAAACAACAAAATATTTTGTGATAGACACGCTTGCTAAATAGAGTCGGCCAACTAAGGCAATCATTTGCAATAACTGTTGTTCCTAGGGCAGGGGAACAGGTATATGTTTCCGTTCACAAGAGCTAATAAACTGAATGAAGAGGGCCAGCAGAAACTAATAAAGAGCATACACTACATTCGAAAGATCAGCACACCCTCCACAAGTTGAAATGAATACTAGCTTGCTGCTCCCTAGAAACCTATCTAAAAAATTGTTATATTTCTCCTCAACCAAATATGAACTTAATTCTCTCAAACAGAATAAGGTTAAGCACCATTCGATCAAGACCCCAATTTCTCTAAAAGATAAGTAATGTGCAAGAAATGCAGTTATACTTCACAAATGGCAGCACTCAGAGAAAAGAATATAATCTATCAGTAAAGGTCCTATCAGAGGGGATTTCTATCGCTTTATTTAGGAATAATAAGTTCAATGAACTGTAACATAAAAATATTCATACCTTTTCCAAGATACTGGGTTCGGTAGCATTGGCCAATTCAAGGAGTCGAAACAGCCCAATAGCAAAAAAACGGCTGTAACTGAAACTCCCCTTACCCCCTGCCCGTTCTGCAATGTCCTTTAAAATACTCTCAACTTCTCCTTCTTTTGATGCAAACTCAACCAATGAAGCTGCTGTCTGAGACCGAGCCCACTCCTCCAATTTTTTAGCATCAATTCTGGACAGTATAACAGAAAAGACTAGTTATAATAAGGAAAAAACCTTCTTGAAATTATTGGAAGAATAGTCCAAGACTCAGAGGTTGGAATATTATTTCCAGGGAAGAACATTAGAATCTTGAAGTTATTGAATAAAATAAACATTCATTAGTTTGATTTCCAGATACAGATAAAAGTCATGAAGACTACTTAAACCCTCCCCTAACATCTGATAGCAGGTAATTTGACCAATCAATCTAGTCCAAATTAACACATGAATGCTGGAAAAGAGGATAAAGTTCCAATCGGAATCACTGTTCTTTTACTATAAATGGAATCATGTAATGATTTTTTAGTTTAACAATGTCTACCTATAAATAAGGCTATTGAAATTATTAGCTGGCAAGAGATACGGACCAGGGATGATAAAAGCAAAGGGGAATACATGACCAAACCTATATTGCTCTGGATCCTCATTCAATGCCTTAATATATGCTTGGAAAATGGCCTCTCGATCCTCATCGCTAGGGTACCCTTCCATAAGCTGATCATATACTGTAACAAAACCAAGGGCGAAAACAGGATCATAACGGTATGTCCTCTTATACCTCATCAAATGCTGCTGCACAATCAACTCTTGCAGAACAGTATTGTAAATGCTAGGAATAGGCCGCTTATACACCTTGAGGAAGTTCGCCTTTGTCTCGGCCACGGTGGTCACATCTGAGCCGTCAAAACAATGATCAGTTTTTAGACTCAACTCAAGTAGTAAAAAATCGAACTAGAGAATTCTTAAACACATTGCCGAAGTTAGCATTAATCCAACCGAACTACTGAAAGCCTAATTCCGTCCAAAATAACAAAACACAAATCTCTACAATTGAGGAAAAGCCAAAACACAAATTCAGCTTGAAAATCAAACTCAACCGGACTACGCGAAACGAGCCTCGTTTTCTCTGCAATCATTTGTGGCAATGAAACTGTCCGATAAGCGAGCAAGGAAAACAAATCACCAGAAAATACCTGTTCCGGCAGACATGCAATGGACGACCATTCGAGAACTGTAACTCGATGTCCGAACTCCCGAATAATGGCAGAAAACGCTTGTACGAAAACGAAACCCGTCGAAATTCGAGGCTAGTGAACGAGCCGAAGGAACCAGCAATCTTCTTTCAGAACATTGACTTAATGCGGAGAATGACACGGAATTAACAGCCGCCATTGGCAAAGATAGAGAAGAAACTTGCGAAGCTTACGAACTTCCGGAGAAAATAGATTTCATATCGGAGCAAGGTGGGAGAAAACACATATAGAATATGAGTTTCGAACGAATTTTGTCGGAAAATAGAAAGAGGAGAGGGTGGGACTGAGAGGCCATGATAGAGAGGCTTATCCCAAGTGTTAATTTCTACGCCTTCATCAACAAGCCAGTAGAATATCGACACCTGGCGGACTCCGTACTTTCGATTTTCCATTTGCATGGACCAGATCATTAGTACATGCCCTCTTTTTCACTCAAAAGGAATTATTCAAAAAAGAAAAAAAAGTTGTAAGTTTGGACTTTAGTGGCATATGGGATATGAATTGGGCTCTATTGCTGTGGGCTAACTTAGAAATTGGGCCGGGCTCTAGAGAGATTTGTAAATATTTTACTTTATTTTATTTTATTTTTCTAGCTATTCAAATAAAGATGTAGTGATTCAGTTGGTCGGAATCGGTTTTTGCCAAAATCGACACCAAACTGACCGTGTTGGTTTAAATAGAAACCGAAAAATTTTATTTCCTTTCATGCGCGGACCGACGGACCGATCGATCAATTTTCGATTATAATTTGTTTTTCTTGAAATAGAAGAAAAACATAGGGAGAAAAATATTGAAGAACATGAGGAAGAACTAAAGAAATAACAAAAAAATAATAATAATAATTGAAAAATAATCCAAAAAAGTGTCTTACTATGGTCGTTGCGTTTAGCGTGAGTGAACGGGTAATAAGAAGTCGGAAGACTTGAAAGGAAAAAAAAAGAAGCAAAGGTGTGAGATGGAGGGAAAGAGACGCAGGTGGAAGAAAAAGTGGGGGAAAGAAAGAAAATAAAATGTGAGGAAAAAAGAACGAGGGAGGGTGTGGGAAGAAAGGAAAATTTTGAAAAAAAAAATATTAAAAAAGACACACAATTAGCAAAAACTTGAAAACGAGCTGCCATCATGGCGTAGGTTTTTAAGGGTGTTGCAATCTACATGCAAACTACATTAAATGTAGTCAGCCAGTCGCACTATTTATTAAAAATAATAGTATTTAATTTGACTGATTTTTAGTCGGTTTCGTAGATTACAAAATCCAAAACTGGTCTTAGATGGGGAAGATTCATTCATCGCTGTGGAATTTGATACCAATTTCGACCCTTCATTTGGTGACATCAATGGAAATCATATAGGTATTGATGTCAGTCAACCATATAGGTAGGTATATAAGTGAAGGCGTATCTTTAGCTTCCGTTAATGTTGTTTCAAGGGGGATTGATTTGACCAGTGGGAGACAGATAACGGTTTGGATTGAGTACAGAGATGCAATGAAAATGATCCGGGTGTGAATCGGGTACTCRCCGATTAGGCCTCCAAGTCCTCTTCTTGTTGCCCAAATTTACCTCTCCAAGYAATTAAAAGATTTCATGCATCTTGGTTTCTCTGCTTATCCTCTTGAGGAGAAGTTTGGTTTCAAACCCCGATTCGAACAGGAGATTTTGACCGAAAATTTCATTAGATAGACCAAACTGACATCGATTTGGTTAGTTTTTTTAGGTCGAATCGATTTTTCAGGGTACTTCTAGTGATTCTAATCTACATCTTGAAAAGCAAACTAGTTAAACCATATTTATGTTATATATTATAAAGAAACTTATTATATAATTATGTTAGATGTTTGCAAGATAAGTATTTAATTTCAGCTATAACTCTTAAGTTTATTTCAATTTATTATAATAAATGTGAGTGATGATTTAAACTTCTGACTTCATGATAAGTAGATCATTTACTTGAATAACGCACCGTAAATTGTGTACGGTAATTCCACAAAAAATGATACTTAACTAGTTTTGAATTTAAAATTTTATGTTAAATGTAATATGAAATTTTAACGGCAAAAAAAGAATGAGTCATTATATAAAAGTTTAGAAAGTGATTCTAAACCTTTCATTTCACAATATAATAATCAGTTGCAAGTAGGGTTTAAACATTAGCTTTCACTAAAGTGTGTTTGTTTTTTAGTTAGTTTTTTTTTTTTTCCTCGTTCCCATAACTTGGATTGAAATAGTAGAAATGAATAAAGGGAAAGTTGGAGGGAAGTAGAAAGAAGAGAGGAGACAAGATCTGAAAGTGCTAAATTTGCTATATTAATGGATTTGATCTTATCCAATTCACCCGAACGTGTCCTTCCTATCTTTCATTCCACATGCCAATATGCTTCCCCCAGATATCATCTGATTCTAATCCAGCTTTATTATTTATTTTGATTCAATAACAAAAAAGTCGTACAAAAACATAATAAAATTGATGCTCAAAAACCTTTTTTTTTTTCTTTTTACATTTTGTGTAAAATAATTCCAACAAATACTGTTTTTTTTAATAAAATATATAGAGGTCGAGATTTGAACTCGATGATGTTCTAGTCGAAGATAGGTGTCTTTAACCAGTTGAGTTATGTTCATGTTGGCATTTCAACAAGCACATCTTATGTTTGAATGTTCTATATATATATTGAATTAAAGCATATATAGAAAGTTTAATAAATGAAGTAAAATCTAGATAACTTTAAGGTAAATCACATAAATTTAACGAACTCACATTTATGATAGGGAGAGAAATTCCTCGATAAAAATCTAAAATATTGTGCGGCAGGAACCTCCAATAAAAATATTATAACTTGAAGTTTAGTATCATTTATCAATGTTAAATATAAATGACTAATTTCAATACTATAAATTCAGTTAAAAGATAAAAGTTTATCTTATGATAATAATTACGACGGAGTGCGACATTGAACAGAGTAACATTATTTTCGTTAATCAGAGATTACTTAAGCGCTACTTCACGTCTATTTTTAAAATTACTTTCAAGTTGAACTCGTTGCCTCACATATACTCAAAGAAATGAGTCATCATTACAAGATTATATGTCTGTTTTTTTAGAAAATAGAATCTTGATTTTCAATACATTTGTCTACTGAAAGACCTAGAGCTGTAGAGTCCACATGCAACGGGGAAAAGCAGCACTATGAATAGAATTTGAACGGTAGAATTTTTAGGTAAAATTGTATTTTATATTTTAATTGTGTTGTTTATATTCGGTTTAATTAAACCTGAGTGGCTAAGTTTTCACCATAATCGAGGAAAATTAACCAACAATATAACTGGCCCTATATGATCTAATAATCCATTGGTCTGTCCTTTGGCTGAGTGCTTGGCCTATTCTTTTTTTTTTTTAAATGCCTTTGGGACGTGGGAAAGTTGTCTTCCTCTGGTTAATTACTTATTAAGGTCGTTATTATTATTTTTTAAATATATTTGAATGGCTTTGGTTTAATCCAAGTGGAAGCTCGAGATCTATCTTCTTCCCATTATTGCTCTAGGGTTTAAGAATCCACGTGAATTGTATTAAATTCATCAACTCAAAGTTTGTTCTTTTTGACCTTTTTCTTTTCCGTTTGGAAGATTAAATTAGGCTTGTGTTGTCATACTTATTTATTGTATGATCTAATCTACTTTATATTGAGATTGAATGTATATAATGCTTTGGTAATTAATATTTTGTTAGTGAAAAGAAATTATATAAATAGACTATATATATAAAAGGTGGCATCTGTTACAAGTACAACTTTCTTTTTTTCTTTTATAATACACATAAGTGTCCAGATTAATTTGCACCTAACATGAAATAGCCATCTAATCCTAACAACATTTGGTGTTGCCTAACCCTACACCTACCTATTACAAGTACAACTCACTAAAACTAAATTTCAACGTCAAACTAACTAAAAGCAAGGTTTTAAATATCGATGTTGATGGAAATGTCGAAGTCTCAATTTTTATGGAAATATCGATAAAATATCGATGTTGATGGATATTTCTGTAAAAGTTAGAAAAATTTAAAAATCGTAAAAAATATTTAAATTAACAAATAAACATTTTTCTATTTCTAAATTAATTAGTTAAAGTAATTAATATTAATATTATGTATATATTGTTGATTTTTTTCATATTTTGTCGATTTTCTATGATATGGAAATGTCGATTTATCCCTTATGTCGATGTCGAACCAATGAAAACATGGATATGTCGATGGAAATGTCTGATGTGTCGACGGATATTTAGAACCATGACTAAAAGTGATAACTCTTTATCATTAAATTTAATAAATAAAGCGTATTTTTCCTCGTCAAATCTTTCCTTTTTTTATCAGATCAGTCATCCCAATGATGAGGGGAAAATATTTACATTGTTGGAGAGATAAGATTCAACTAATACACTTGATATATGTTATAGCTGTTTAATTTCTTAAAATTAATTTGAGAGTGGTTTGAAATGCAAAACTCTTTAAGCCTTTTTAATCATGGAATCTTATAATCTTTATTTATTTATCTTTATTTGATTCTTCCCTAAGAAACTTTTACTATTCCTAGTAGAGTTCTAAAGCTCTTCTTCATATATAATAATAATTTTCTACGAGAAAATTAAAATTTTAACTTAAATTTAGTTAATATCTTTAAAATTTATTAGTCAGAAATAGGTCTGACTGCTGAAATGTAATTTATATTCAAAGCAATCAATTCTAAAATATTTAATTTATTTTTTAAAGAACTATATTGAGATTGATATTAGTATGTCTGCAAGTGTGGAAGATGCTTTACTTAAAAAGTAGTATATTTCTTCAGACCCTCATCTTTGGGTCTATAAATAAAGAACTGAAGCTATTTAGTTCATCATACCCAACCAGTTTTGGAGCCAAATTGCCACTTCTAATTCTCTCTCTCTCTAAACAAATTTGTGAAATTTTCTCTGTGAAATAATGGCTGCAGAAACGACTGGTGAGGAACAAGTCAAAAACTACACTTCTTTCTCCATGAAACCTCTAACAGATTATTCTTCTCGTACGTCTGGCAAGTGCTGTTCTTCTTCAAACCCGGCTGCCAAGTTTTCCGGCAATGGCTCCGGTTCCAGCAACAAACACGGCAGCAAGGGGGACAAAACTAAAAGGGCCGAAGAGTCGCTTCGAACCATCATGTATTTGAGCTGTTGGGGACCTAACTCATGACCTTTCACCATTTTTTACCTCGCAAACAAGGTCAAGGAAATTCTCCCCTCTATGATATTATCTATTTTAGACCTAAATCTTCATGGATTTACTTTTAATCTACTCGAAGGTATCGTGCGAACGGAGATCATGTTGTATTTTACTACTTATAACCATAAATCTTACTTATAACCATAAATCTTTCATCAACGTGAGATATTGTTTGTATTTCTAAATAAAAGGAATAAGTCAGGAAACTTTGTATGGACAATGACGATGAATCAATCGCATGGAATATTGAAAACTTGTTAGGACCTCTTTCCTTTCTGCCCCCTCTCCATTCGCATGGTTCTCAAAGTAGAGGAGGGAGGGTGGGCATAAATGCGTTGAGGCGCAACAGTTAAGTGAACATCTAGAGGTAAAGAACTGTATCGATGCGAGCCGCCTAACTACATGGTAGTGGCCTAGGGAGCGCAATTGCTAGAGCATAGGAGAATATAATAATAAAAATGACGAGTGATTTTGGTTAATATGTCTATCCTCAACCAAAAGGTTTGACTCTCCCTCCCAATAAAATTTTAAAAAAAAATCATTTAGCTAAGTATAGGAGTAAGAAGAGTCAAACTTTAACTTGGTTTTTTAAAATTGATTTCCATTAATCACTTACTAAAAAACTATATTTATTTTTAAAATCTAATATTATCCTAACACACATGAATTTAAATACTTGGCTATTTCAAGTAAATAAACACATCAATAAACTAAAATAAATGATATTGAATCAATAGCATAATCTAAATCATCGAATATTAATGTTTCATTACAAATGGGTAGATTTGAGTTCACTCGTTTAATTTGAAACATAGTATTTTACTTTTAAAAAAAATTAAATTTTATAAGGGCAAAATGAGTTTAAACCTGGAATTTTCCATTTTTCCCTTCTTTTTGCTTTCAGGTAAACCTGTGTATGGTTTTACTAAAATAACGATTTGATAAGAGAGAGAGAGAATATATTCTTTAATCTTAACTTGAGCATATGTATTAATTATCCTCTCATGTAAGTTGAAATGAAAGGGAAAAAAACACATAATCAAAAGATATATTTTTCGCGATGTTTAAATTAGTTGTAAGAACAAAATAAAAATATGAATAATAAATTTTTAAAAAATATACAAAAACAACAGGCTCTGCTCCGCAGTTAGTAAATAGAACACGTGTCAGTTCTAGACCAATCGATATCATAAATTAAAGAAACCGGACGCGGTCTATTTTACCTCGTCAGCAAGATTCCAAAAACCCAACTCTATCCCCTCAGTTCCCAGTTTACAAGACTATTTGGAGGGGTAGTTAAGTCCAGAGAAAAAAAAACCCTCCATCCGGATGGAACGCTGAAAACAAAAAACCAGGGGCGCGCTTAATGGAAGTCATTCGACACGTGACACGTCTATATAAACAGCACCGCCAACTCCGATTCCGGATCAGAAATCGCAAACGAGAGCAACTGTTGAAGAAGAACGGAAAAAAGAAGGAAAAAAATTAATGAGTTCGGCGGCAAAAGCTTGGGTGGTGGCGGCGAGCGTGGGAGTGGTGGAAGCGCTGAAGGACCAAGGGATATGCAGGTGGAATCACGCCATAAGATCGGCGCAGCAGTACGCCAAGAGCCGCGTCAGGCCTCTTTCTCAGGCCAAGAAGTTGTCGCCGTCGTCTTCCGCCGTCGTCTCCGGCCGCCACCACAATAAGTCGGAGGAATCTCTGAGAATGGTCATGTATTTAAGCTGCTGGGGTCCCAATTGAGCCCCCTCATCAAGTACATGAATCGGCAAATTTTAGTCAGAATCCTTTTTTTTTTTTTTGCGGGGGCTGAAACTTGTAAATATTTCTGTGTTTAAATGAATTTGATATGGACAATTGCCCTTGTGTTATTTATCAAGTATTCCTCTGTTCAATCCTTTCCCGATATCTCTCTTTAATTAATTTGGTTGACGTATAATTAGGAAGATAAAGCACAATTTTATGTATACGAACAAGAATTTTAATGTTTTCTTAATCACATATAATTAATTTTATCTGACATAATTAAGCTTCGTGACTTATGTGTATTTCTTTTCCGAACTTTTCAGGAAAAAAATGCCCTTTAAAAAAAAAGTGAAATTTCCTTCAAGAACTAAAAAGGGAAGAAAAACAAAGTCCACCTGAAGAAAGAGATTAACCTGATAACATTAATATAATCCTCAGAAACTATACTAATAGGAAGAAAAATAAAATTAGTTGAATTATAGTTTTTAGAATTTTAGTTACGTACTTATAATTTTAATGAAATTTCATTACTTACGAAATGATTATACTCTCATGGATATTGGAATTTATATTTATGTTTTAATTGGGAGGTATTCGAGAAAGAATTGAAATGTAATAATGTTATAGTATATATCTGACGTAGATACAGAAGAAAAGTTTCTTTATCCTATACTTGCTGGATAGGAATTCACAAATTTAAGCAATTGATGACAAAATGCTCTCATCAAGAGTGATGATGTTTATTTGGAGCCCCCATCACTAAAATTACAAATACACCAAAATCACAACCACTTTACTAACTGAACAGCTCTGATAACAAACTAACATCAATCTATATTTCAACTTATATATGAAATATTTAACCCAAAAAAATGTTAATGAAAAAAGGGGACATTTTACATAGTACTTTGATGGATAAATCAATCTAGAAAAATAGGTCGGACATAGAACATGATAGAAGGGAATAAGAAAAGAGAAAAATAAGTAAATAAAAAGACTTTGTAAATTCTAAAAGAATGAAACGTGACTGAATGGATCTAGGATCACTCTTGAGAGTGAAATGGAAATGGAAGAAGGGAGGTGATTTTCCTAACTTGATTTATATTTGTTTTAATTGACGTGGTCTATAATTATTAGAGAAAACAAAGAAAATGTAAATAGTAAATTAATATAAAACCTATGAAGTAATTATAATTTAAACGTGGAAGCCGATGGAAAGTTGCGAACGGAGCAATCCACTCTCATCTCTTAAATTCCGCTGCTTTCCCGATATCCAGGGGGAGTAAACCGTGTGCCAATGGGAATTATTTTTGCTTGTTTTGGAATCTAACACGAAAACCCAATCCTACCCCTTCACCTCAAAAATTGCAGACGCAGTTGAAGGGGTAATCAAGTCCACACACAAAAAGAACCATGGGTCCCATCCTATATAGACCACTTAAGTCAAGAAAAACCAGGGGCTTCACTTGAAGAGCTGCGGCAGTCTAATCCACACTCTTTTTTCTTTTTGTTCTGTATAAAAACGAGCACCCCACTGATTCATTTTCACCAACAAATTAAAAGATTGAAATTCAGAGCGCAAAATATTCAGAGAGAAAAGAATGAGTTCGTCAACAAGAGCTTTGATTGCGGCGGCCAGCGTCGGCGTTGTGGAGGCCTTGAAGGACCAAGGAATTTGCCGGTGGAACCATGCCATAAGATCGGCGCAGCACTACGCCAAAAACCATGTCCGGTCTATTTCTCAGGCCAAAAAGTTGTCCTCCGCCGTGACTTCTGGTAAGCACCAGAGACAGTCGTCGCCATCGGAGGAATCTCTGAGGACGGTCATGTACCTCAGCTGTTGGGGTCCTAATTGAACCCACAATATATTCCGGTTCGACCGGGGGCGGTTCAGGTTTAGCAACCGGCGATTGGGTTGAAATAGATGATTATGATCTCTTTATTTCTTGTTTCTCCCACTGGGTTGAAATTGTAATTTACACGAGGCGTTGGGCGACGGATTCTTTGAAGAATTGTAAAGGCAGTTCCTTTTCTTATTATTAAAGAGAATTGAACCAAAGCTTTTTTCACTACATGATCTTTCCGTGACCAATTCTTTTTCGACGACTCGAATTTTAGGCTTTATTATTCTTACCATTTTATAAGAATATAGCTATGTTGTTGGATTATGTTTTTTTTTTCCAACCAAAATTGTAGTCTGTAGATATATATTAGTAATGGCTGAAGAACACGAATATCAGAAATTAGGTCAATCTTAGCTGAATGTTTCCATCAACTCAAGTCTAGAAGTGGAAATAAGATAACATTAATTTTTGAAGGCAAAGAAAAATAGTCAAAAGATGAAAGATTAAAAGTTTTCCACCCACACATTTGTACTAAAAAAAGAGAGAAAAACAAAAGTTATTGTTGGAAATTTAAATAGTTAATTAAGTCCAATATAGGATTCTTCATTTTAATAAATCTCAAATGATAGCATAATTTCGTACTGTTTCAATTCCCATCTTTGGGAGAGAACTTTATCTAGTATTTGACCACACGTAATTTGAAATTTTCTCATTAAAATTATTTCAAAGTTTAAAAGTTAAATACAACTTTACTTAAAAATTTTCAGGTGTTAAGGTATGTATCTCTTGTCGAGGCAACTAATTGAAGTGTTGGTCGAAATAGTTATACTGAAGAAAATTTCGGGGAATTTGACTCGGTGGTTTTAGCTAATTATGGTTAGTAGTTTATGTAGTATTAGTGAATATATTACCTATATTGTTGATTGTAAACTAAACCACAATTAATAAAATATATAACCTTGGAAATTTTTCTCCTGCCAAAAACATTTCTCTCCCTCTTTTCTTTTCCTATCTTTTGACGCTAATTAAAAAGATCGAATAAATCTTATTGATCCTCCGATAAGTTTTTCAAATTGAAACTATTTGATTTTCCTCTTTCTAGTACATGTTAAAAGTAGATAAGTAAATAACAAAATAATAAGAGATAGAGATAGAAAAACTTAACACCACGTGAATTATATAGTTTCGTCTCAATCTTTGGACTACATCTAGTCTTATGCAAAATATCACTATACAATTATATAATGACTATCTTGCTTCTAAGTACCCTAACAACAGTTACCTAAGATTATACAATTGAAAATACCATCATTAAAAATACGGGATACAAACTTCTTTTCATAGACTGCATACTATCAACATTAATGAAGTTTGTAATGAGAGAAGTAACTCATGTCTATTATAAAACTTGTAATCCTTGACACCACAACCATTTAATCCTCTACGTACTCTTGTACTTAAAAAAAGAAAGTGACTTAGAAAAGCCTAAACAAAAAGGGACTCAGAAAATGAAATACTGGGCGGAATTGAAGTCACAGTGCCATGGTGCTACCTTCTCGACAGCTTGCCTTCTGGACTTGTAGCACCGTGACACTCTATGGTAGTGTTGCGTCTAGGGACGACGCCTTGGCGTTGCAACTTCGGCCTCTTGACCCAAGTGTTTTATCTTTCCTCTTATTTTGGCTCCATTGATCCAAGAGACCTTTCCCTCACTCTACGTACTCTTGCACTTAAAAAGAAAGTAAATTTATAATGTAATACATTTTAAATAAAAATATTGAAGTTATCATACTTATTTGACGAAAATAAAATTTAAACAAAAAAACAAAAAGGTAGGAATGGACAACATTACCCAGTCTGAGCACTGTTTCCCTGTTTGGCCAAGAGTGACAGAATTTTGCCACCTCTCAAATCCCAATTTCCCATCCGGTTTGACGACACGTGGACACAAAACCACGTGCGAACCTTCTTGGAGACTACCTGAAAGGCGAAAACCCAACTCTACCCCTCCTCTATCTTCATTGGGAAGTCCGGTTTTGAGGAGTAATCGAGGGGAGGGGAAAAAGGAAAAAAAAGGAAATCCGGATCCAGACCGACCACTGAAACACAAAAAAACCAGGGGCAGTTTCGAAAGCTGCATCCTCTGGTATATAAACAGCCCCATCTCGCCCTGCCCTTCATCAAAATCAAAAGCAGAGCACAGATCGAAAGAAGAAAAAATGAGTTCATGTTCATCAACGAGGGCTTGGGTTGTGGCCGCCAGCGTGGGCGTGGTGGAGGCCCTAAAGGATCAAGGAATTTGCCGCTGGAACCATACCATAAGATCGCTTCACCACTGCGCCAAGAACCATGTTCGGTCGCTGCCTCAGGCCACCAGATTGAGTGCCTCCTCCTCCGCCAAGCACCCCAAGCAGTCCGAAGAATCCCTGCGAACTGTCATGTATTTGAGCTGCTGGGGTCCCAACAATTAAACCCCTGCTATGTAAATGGATGGATATATTATTGATACAGACTTTGATCGATGAGAGCCGCCGCCAGAGCTTCTAATTGCCTTCTCAATCGCCGGCGGTTCGTCGTCCGGCAAAAAATACCGCCGGTCGAATCTCTGGGAAATTGTTGTTTAGCGATGTAAACTAAATTGGGTGTTTACTGTTAATGAAAGTTAAACAATCTCCCCTTACTCTCTATCTTTCGCTTCTTTTTTTGCAAATTATTTCTTTTTTTTTAGACTCATTTCTGGTTTCGGAAAACAAATATTTTTTGTTCGTCAAAAAACCTCGATTATGAAAAAGAAAATAATTGTTACAATTATCAAGAAGAATTTGAGACGACAACTATGCATATGAACTAAATTTTAATAAAAAGTCTAAACCACCATATATTTCAAATTCAACCGAACTCCAAGAGAAGAGATTAAAAAAAAAAATCCAATCGATATGTAATGCATAAATGTGCCCATAAGAATCATAACTTGTTTAACTAAATTATAATTGTAATGGCTATCCACACAAATTCGTTAATGGTCGTCTTGTTGATAGTTGTACTTACCAAATTTGCATTTGTTTATGCAAGGATATGCACAACAGTATATTTCAGATTGCAGCTCGAACTCGACCTCCGGACCGATCTGAATACTTGGGCGGACCTGCACAAAAAGGTATGCACTCCGACGATCAAGTCAGTATAGGTCGGATTCCCAGTTTAGTTCGAGGTCAGAAAATCATCGTACCTGATCGCTGAGTGAGGTCCTCTACTTATGGGTGGTAGTCCCGCTAATCTCGCGGCAGTTACACCCGGTAATCTCGGGACCGTCGGTTACACCCGGTAATCTCGGGACCGACGGTTACACCCGATAATCACGCCGCTG